TCAGAATTATCCTCCTAAAATCCAGACTGACTCTGGTTTTCTCCTCTCTAGAAACCCTGACACTTAGAATTTTGCTTGTACTTCTAACAGAGCCCAGGGGTATTCAGTCTCATAATCTCCCTTGATGGGTTCGCAGTTATCCACCCATAAGACTAGGAGTTCTTTAAGGGCACAATCATTCATTTCATCCTTACATGCAGAGAGTAGATGCAGACATGAACTAATGAGGAAACCACACAGAAAAGAGTAAGCTAGAAATGGCTGGGCGCGGTGGCTCACGCCTGTAATCCTAGCTCTCTGGGAGGCCGGCGTGGGATTGTTTGAGCTCAGGAGTTCGAAACCAGCCTGAGCAAGAGCGAGACCCTGTCTCTACTAAAAATAGAAAGAAATTAATTGGACAACTAAAAATATACAGAAAAAATTAGCTGGGCATAGTGGCGCATGCCTGTAGTCCCAGCTACTCGGGAGGCTGAGGCAGGAGGATCGCTTGAGCCCAGGAGTTTGAGGTTGCTGTGAACTAGGATGATGCCACAGCACTCACTCTAGCCCGGGAAACACAGTAAGACTCTGTCTCAAAAAAAAAAAAAAGAGTTAAGTTAGAAATGAAGAAGCCATGGAATGGGCTGAAGAAGTTACTCTTTATCCAGGATTAGGCATATTTATTTTACCCTGGGCTGGAGTAAGATACCAGTCACGCAGCTGGCAAAAGCAGATAGTCCTAAGCATATGAAAACACATTTTTTTAATACTCTGCATAATAGGGTTAAGTACCATTTCTGAGCTTTGTCACTGTTAATTACACAAAACTTTTTTTAACACTGACAGAAAAGTTTTTAAGTTCATTAGTAACCACAGAAAAAGAGTACAAAACTGAGCCATGACACTGCTGGAGTCCCCTGTACACTTCAGGGCCTTTTCCCACTGTTTGAAACACCTCTTCCACGTCCAATCTAAGTGTATATATGCCTCCTCTCACACTTTTAACCAGAGGCCCATTTCCTAGAATCTTCCAGAAAATGCAGAAAAAAGCAGTCATTTAAATTAAAAATTCTAAACAGGTTATGCAACATTCTTTACCACTTAAGAATCTCAGATCTTCTACTATACTCAGTGCCCTAGGGAAAAGAGTTTATGCAGCTGAATTTCCAAGAAATGAGGAATAAATCTTTTACTGCCTAAGAACATATTAACCATGGTTATACCCTAGTACAGGAGTAGGGAACCTTTTCAAGTTGGAAGGCCACATTAATTTAGCTATAATCAAATAAGGCCGCATTTAAGAAACTTCAATTAGATATACTTAAAAATGTACATTATTTTACAAAAATCCAACTACTATGTACTTAATAAATTTCAGAAAAACTATTTGTTAATTTTAAAGTTAACTAACATTTTAATGACTTCGTTGTATCTGCTTTTTGTTGGAAAGCATTCAAATATTTGGTTGCAGGATGGAGGTCTGAAGTTTCAGTTGATCCTCTAGATCGGTATCATCATTTGTGACCTTAAGGGCATCTTGATTTGGGTTAGGTAGAAGAATGTAGATTTGCAGCATTAAGTGGTTAAAAACCAAGAAAGCATTTTTCAGGCATGTTGACAAAGGTGTGGGTATTCTACTGCATGTTTCCATATTTCAATTGGATCTTTCCTAGCAGCTAACAATGACTGTAAAATGTCATCTACTGAGAGCTCAGTCAAGTCCATCTGTAGTTCTTTAGGTGTCTCGGTGATATCAACTAGGTGAGACTGAAATGCTAATTTGAGTGTGATGTCATGATTCTCAATGTTAGTGAACCTTTCATTATATTCTCCAATTAATAGGGCTATAACAGCTGCGTATTCTTCAAATGTTTGCATATATCATCCTGCTCATCAATGATCTTTGCTAACTTGGGAAAATGTTGATCTGAAATTTCCTTTTGAAGAAGAAATGTTTTTAAAAACAATAGCTTTTTTCAAAATACTTGGATTTGTTGCCACTTATCATACACAGACTTATTAGTTTTACCTTGCAAAGAAATATTCAAGTCATCTTGATATAACATGGTATCACACAGAAACACTGTATTCCTATAGAAATCTTTCAATAATTCACATTGCTGACTCTGTTCTTCATAATTTTAACTATCTGTTCTTGCAGAGATAAAATTTTGGCCAACACCTGTCCCTATGATAGCCAACACACTTGAGAATGACATGGCAAATTCACACTGAATACCTCATTGTTCAACTTTAGCATGTTACAAAACTGACGATGCACTGTGGCATTTGCATGAATATCATTAACAATACTTATAACTTGTTGCAATGTGTCACTTAAAACAGTAGCTTTAGCACAGAGATTTTGCTGATGTAACATACAATGAAAAGAAATGAGAGCATCTGCATCTGTTAATACTTTTAACTGCGCAATAAACCCTTTATGTTTTCCTGTCATGGAAGGTATACCGTCTGTACATACACTTACTAAATTTACCAAATTCAGTCCAACTTCATGACGTTTATCTTGAAAGTTGTTGAAGATATCTATACCCCATGTTCTGTTCAAAAGAGTACCCAAAGAAAGTAA